TGTAGGAGGAGGCCCTGGCTTTGAGCTGTGCCTCTGCTCTGCTGGTTTCCCACCTCATGGCCTTTCAGAGCCTCAGCTTGCACACCTGTGAAATGGAGGTCAGCTTGCTCCCCCCGCTTTCCCCAGGGATGGCTGTGAAGACTGAATGAACTCATGCCCACGAGATGCTGAGCCCGGTGCCGGCCTCATTGTCCACACTCATCCATTCGCTCTTGGCAGTGATAACGCCTCCCCTGGAGAAGCACCTAGCGTCTGGGTTCAGAAACCCGCTTACTCTGAGGACTGCCCCCAGGTGAAGCCCTTCCAGAGCGGTAGGGTACACGTGGGAGGCAGCTTTCCCGCCAACAAGTGCACGTGCTTCCCGCCTGGTTCCGTGCGTCTCATATCAGCGCTCCGGGGCCACGAGCAGGGAGGTGCAGCAGCATCAGGAAGGGGCCGGCCAGCTTCTCCACCCTCGAGTCAGTCCCTGGCACCCCTGGCTCCCCGGCCCTGCACCCTGCTCCCACCCCGGAGCCCGGCCAGCACCCCTGCTCCAGGCATCCCAGCTCCTACTCCAGGCATTTCTGGGTTGCCTCCCCGCCAGCTTCTGATCTGCCCCTGCACCTGCCTATATCTGGGGCACCTGTCCCTCTGCAGATGGATCGGCCAGACAGTCTCCATGTTGACTTCTGTCTCCGTGGTCAGTGTGTTCTGGACAGGAGTTCAGACTGAAAAACCGCCCACTTGTGTGCTGACCTGGGGCCAGGTGTGCCCCTGGGGTGCAGGGTGGCGAGGCTGCTGCTGGCTTGTGTGCCCCCCACCCCTCCTCACCGGCAGAGCCCGACAGTGTGCTGTGGCCCCTGCCAGGGAGGAGCAGGGAACTTGCACGGTGCACAGAGGCTCCGCGAGCGCCGCGCTCGTCCACGTGGGCCTCGGTGTATCATTTGGGCTCTGGCCACGGCTCTGACTTTTGGAGAGTTGCTTACCCTCTTCCAGCCTCCACTTACTCATCCGCAAAATAACGCACATAACAGTTGATGTCACATCACCGTGGAGATTAGCAGAGCTTTTGAGAACACGGGGCTTGGTTTAGGAAAGTGCCGTTAAGCCCTTCAAAGTATATCTGCCACAATTCCTACTACTAGTTTCACTTTACTATTTCATGTTGGTTTTTATCCACTTGCTTTTCAGTATAGTCTTGCGAAGTAGTTGAAGCAGGAACCGCATCCGTGTTACCAAGGAGCAAACTAAGACGCCGAGAAGGGCCATTTGTCCATAGTCACACAGCCTGGCCTGACCAGCCTCCCCGGGTCGGTACACCCAGCGGCAGGGCACCCCGTTTTGGAATATGACATGACCACGGGCATCTGAGAAAAGGTGTCTGTGCAATTGAAAGCTGTTGTTCAGCTGGGCTCAGCGTTCACAATTATCCAGATTATCATTTTTCATGTGGAGGAAAAAGCTGTGATTTATTAAGCCAACTGGCTGTCCTCCTCTGGGAGTGAGGTAGAATTTCGCTTCTGGTCCCCTGCTCCGCTCCCCAAAGAAACAAAAATCGGAGAACAGAATCTCTCCTGAGATCGATCATGGTCTAGTGCGTGATGGTGCCGTAGGGTGGGGGCCAGCCCATGGTGATGTTCTATTAGGGCCAAAGAAGGGATGATTTATGGGCCCTCATCTCCTGTGTGGCAGATAGATGTTGGAGGACATGTTTCTCGCTCCTGAGTGTCCCGGGTTAAGCCCAGCGGTTGGCAGCCGGGGGCCTGGGCCGGTACCTGGTGGTTGCAGGTTGTATGGATAGAAGCAAAGGAGAGAATGGCCTGGGAGAGGAGGGGTAGGGAGGCAGGTGGGCATGGGGAGATGCAGGGTGGCAAAGCGTGGGAAGAGAGCCACGACGTGGCATTCCAGAAGAGGTTTCGGGGCTGCGTGTTAAAAAAAGCAAAAGGCACGGAGAAGGACAATTATCATATGGTTTCACTCATATGGGGAATATAAGAGATAGTGAAAGGGATTATAAGGGAAAGGAGGGAACTGAGTGGGAACAATTAGAGAGGGAGACAAACCATGAGAGACTCCTAACTCTGGGAGATGAGCAAAGGGCTGCAGAAGGGCAGGTGGGTGGGGTTGGGGTAACTGGGTGACGGGCACTGAGGAGGGCGCTTGATGGGATGAGCACTCGGTGTTACACTATATGTTGGCAAATCGAACTTCGATAAAAAAAACAAATAAAAAAAAAGCAGAAGGCAAAGAGAGTCTCAGTAGATATTTAGGTTGCACCTGGGGATGAACAGGTTCAGAGTGGGATAGTGACCTTCTCTGTGTACTTAGCATCCCTGTGCTGTGTTAGGAGCTGAGACACCGAGGGCCTGGAAGGTGGGGGACACCTGGGGAACAGTTCTAGTTTATAAAAGTCCCACAGTTGCCAACGTGCCAGTTGGGATTGGGAATCCAGTGCAAAGGGGTGAAGATAAGCATGGGAAGCCACAGGTACCCGGACGTAAGGTGGCTAACCCAGCTTTGAGTGTGGGAGTATGTTAAAAACAAAAAACAAAAAACAACAAAACATCTTGGACGTGTGACCCAGGAATGAATGGTTTTGTTCATTCTCTCACTCAAGGAACAAGAACTGACTTTCTCCCGCGTGGCAAGAGTGGTGTGTGCGACGGGCACCCCTGGCACCCCCGTGGCGTTAATCAGGCTAGGGGCACATGCTCTCTGGGAGTGCGGGGAGCCCTGGGCGGTGCCAGTGCCTGGCCTTGTCCAGACGGCCAGCTGCCCCTTCCCTGGGAAGGGCCATTGGTGGTGAAATAGCAGTGAGTAGCAGTACACGGCGGGAGGTGTGAGCTGGTGACGCGAGGGAGGAAGGTCCCGCTGCGGGCTGCTGCCGGCAGGGACTGGCATCAGAGGAGGTGGCGGTGGCAGGTCTGGTCAGAAGGCCGGGGCAGTGAACCCCCCATCTCAGCTCTCCTTTCAAACAACAAGGACTAGAAAGTTTCATTTTTTTTTCTTAATAAATTTATTTTTTTTTGGTGTTCAATTTGCCAACATACAGAATAACACCCAGTGCTCATCCCATCAAGTGCCCCCCTCAGTGCCGTCACCCATTCACCCCCACCCCCTGCTCTCCTCCCCTTCCACCACCCCTAGTTCGTTTCCCAGAGTTAGGAGTCTTCCATGTTCTGTCTCCCTTTCTGCAATTTCCCACTTATTTTTTCTCCTTTCCCCTTTATTCCCTTTCACTATTTTTTATATTCCCCAAATGAATGAGACCATATAATGTTTGTCCTTGTCCGGTTGACTCATTTCACTCAGCATAATACCCTCCAGTTCCATCCACGTCGAAGCAAATGGTGGGTATTTGTTGTTTCTAATGGCTGAGACTAGAAAGTTTCATTCTGGGAGCTCGTATTTTCTGTGACGCTAAACCCTGAGTGCCCTGGCTCAGGCCACTGCGTGTGTCTTCCATGCAAGCATCCCTCCCCCTCAGCGCACCCCAAATAGAATCTATTTAGTCAGCACCGGGCGCCTCTAGACCAATCTTGGGTCATTGTGTAACTGGATCCTGTTGACTTTACTTCTAGCGTAGCTCGTGATCTTCCATCTCTCCTCGGTGCCACCGCCACCCGGCCGCACGTCTGGCCCTCCACGTCACTGACCCAGGATCTTTCTTTCTAAGCTGCAGGTTTATTATGTTTTATCGCCATTGCTGGCAGCGTAAAGATGACCTGGTGATTCTATCAGTGAGCTTTCTCTGCATAAGGAACAGCTCCAAACCTTAGTGCCTTAAACAACGAACGGTCATTTCTCCCGATTCTGTGGGTTGATTGGCCATTTCTTGTGGTTTGGGCAGCGTGGCTGGGACTCACTGGGGTGGTCCATGGACCTGGGGGCCCGGCTGAGCTGGGATGCCTGGGGCCTCTAGTGACCAGCTCAGGTGGGGTAATGTGGCCTCGCCGCAGCCAGAAAGGGAGGTGTTCTGTGCATAAGCACCGCTACAGCTTTTATTTGTGTCTTTTGTTACTGGCCAAAGCAAGGTTACATGGCCAAGTGCAGATCCAGAGTGTGGCGAAATGGGCCTCAATTTATGTGGGGAGGGGGAGCAAAGCTGCCCCCAAGGAGCATGTGTACCGGGTGGCCCGGGCAGGTGGGGGCCGTTGCTCAGCGCACCTGCCCCAGTGGCAAAGATGAGGGCTGTGCCACTGGAGTTCTCACGCATCATGGGGGCGTCCTGTTGGGGGCTGTGCTCTACCGCTTACTGCCTTTGTCATCAGGTCAAAGAGCTCATAGCTCTCCAGGCCCCGCTGCCCATCCATAAAATGGGGATAGTCTTTGAGGACCCCCCTTCATCAGGGACTCAGTGAGAAAATATGTGGCCTGTTCATCTCTCGGTGCTTGAGACACAGTAAGAAGTCAAAACTGAGGGCTCTTACTCTCAGGGGAGGCCTTCCAAAGCCTCCCACCGGGCCTCAGCCTGGTGCATCCCCACCCCGACCTCACACATTGATTTTTCCCCATCTGCTTCCTCAGAGACACTTTCCCCACATCCTTCCTTCCTTCCTTCCTTCCTTCCTTCCTTCCTTCCTTCCTTCCTTCCTTCCTTCCTTCCTTTTGCCAAACGGCATCTCACTTGAGCAAGGAGCAACAAACAACCCACCTGCTTTTCTCTTGCTGAGTTGGTCATTTCTCCCTTAGCTCCCCAAATATATCCCTCACATGCTTGTACCGCATTGCCCGGAGTTATTTGTTTATCTCTCTGCTTTCTCCACCAGCTGAGCTTCCCAGGGGTTTGAACAACGGTCTCCTCACCTTTCTGTCTCTGGCACTTGGCTGTGTGCATGGCACAGGATAAGTTCTACTTAAAACAAAACAAAACAAAACAAAACAAAACATTTGTATAAATCATTGGGTGAGAGAGTGGAGCGATGGGGAAATGCCTTTGAATTGTCTCGAGTCATCTTCAAAACACGGTGGAGGAGCTAAATGTCAAAACTGACTTGAGCTTTTCTCCTCTTCCCTTGCAGCCGGGACCATTTTCAGACTCAACCTTTCTGACCTGGAAATGCCAATAGAAGTAATAATCATCATCGCCAGGGGCTGTGGTGAGCAAACGCTTGGAGCTCTGTGGCCAGGGCAGTTTCATTTGAGGACCGGAGATGGACAGTCCCTCAGCCTACTGAGGTAAATGCCTACCCTCGCCCCCCCTACCCCCCCCACCAGTGAGAGGTATTGTCTCTTCTGATTTCTTCCATAGATTGACTTGAGTAAGGGAGGAGAGATGTTTCCCTGTCTTGTGGTCTCTTTGTCATTTGGCCTGTTCTCCTGGGGATATTCCATTAAGAGGTAAAGCTTTCTACCTTCAGGGAAAAATGCAGGACCATTAGAATATAAAGCAGCCTTTTTTTTCTTAAAAGGAAAGCCTTCTGTACAAACTGGATTAGGAACGGCCTCATATGGCCAGTACCTGCCATCCCCAAGAAGGTCTGGAGCGACCTGTACTGGTGTGCGTGTCAGCAAACAACTAGGGCCCATAGGACAAAACTAGCCTGGTCATTTTTTATAAATAAAGCTTTATCGGTACCCAGTCCCATTCCTTCCTTCAGATATGTCTGTGGTGCTGTCACATGACAATAGCAGTGGTGACAAAGGCCGTGTGGCCTGAGAGTCTAAAATATTTACGGTCTGGTCCTTCGTGGAAAAAGGGTGCTAGCCCCTGGTCTAGAGAGAAGCTGTCTACATGCAGAGCCCCTGCAAGTGTGGCTATTTAAATTTTAATTCATTAAGATTAATCACAATGAAGGATTCAGCCCTCAATCACACTCACCACGTTTCAAGTGCTCAATAGCCACGCGTGACTCGTGGCTACCATTGTGGACAGTGCACATTGAGAATGCTTCCATCAGCGAGGAAAGCTGGCTTGGGAAAACTGTGGTCACTCGGGGATGTCTCCCTTTGCTCCGCCAGTGTCTAACTGAGCTTGGATATAATTGCAGCCACCGTGGAAGAAGGAAGGTTGGTACATGTATGTGTGTGTGTGTAGCTGTTATATATGACTATTGGTGAGGACATCTATCTATTTATCTACCTTCTTACCTGTAAAACCAGAATTGCTTCTAAAATGTCTTTGGACAGCCAACCTGTGGTCACTGTGTATGAGTCCATGTAAACACTAAACCACTTGGACATTAGAATTTATCAGTTTTACCTATACAAATAGGTTGATACAAATATGAGCCTTTCCATGGTCGTAGGAAGGTCAGATGCAGTGTGAGGCCTCCTGTAAAGGGGAAGAAGAAGCAACGACTATAGTGTCCACAGGGGTTGAAGAGAGATAAGAAACCAAGAGAGGAAGAAAATGAACTAAAGATATGGTGCCTGTGAGTCTTGGAAGAATGAGCAATGATGGAGACAGAAAATGATAGGGATGGGACCATGGATTTACCTTCGAAGAACGTGTTAGACAAAGTAATGATGATTGGGACCTTATCGCATCTCAGAACCGAGCTGAGCACAGCCAGTTCTAATCCACAGACCCATGGGGAGAAGCTTGGATTTGGCAATAGTGCCGCCATCTTGGATGGGTCAGGACTTGGGGCATAATAGGAGATTCTACTTGTTGAATAAGGTGGTGTGCAGTGCAGAATAAGAGGGCCAGTCGCTGAGCTGCACAGCATTTTTGGGTGAGTTCCAAGAGGGAACAGAGAGGGATCCTTAGGTGGCCGGGAGGCCTATAGGCAAAGGCCCCAGGTTCTGTCTTTAAGAGCTGGACTTTCCCGACTTTGGGTTACCCAGGAAGTAGCAAGAACAAAGAGATTCAGGTGATAGAAAAGGATTGAATCAATGTGTATCTATACATCTAGATCTGAAATGGGCCCCTCCTCTCTTCTCTTGGTTGGTTTTTAAGCTCTTCATGGTTGCAGGTGAGTGCTGGAAGCACTTGAAACAGGTGTTTCCATAACTGGACTTCAAACAGTGGAGCTTAATGCCGATATGAAGTAATTAGACGTAATAATAAGAAAAGTTTTGTTTTTTTTTTTTTTTTTTTTTTTTTAGTACTTAGTATCAAGCCCATCAGGCACCACAGTGGTGGTGGTGATGGTGACATTAACAGTGATAACATCCTCTGTCCATCTCAAGCTGATGATGTGCTACGTGCACCGTCTGGTCATAATAATAATTATCATAATAGCTTTAAATTATCGTGCTAAGTGCTAAAGTCACATTTTCTCAGCACATGAACCCAGAGTATGCTTCCCATTACATTTTTCCCCCAATTGCTTGATTTTGATATAATTGCAAATTTACAGATAAGTTGCAAGAGGAGCCAAAAAAAAATTCCTGGATACCTTTCCCTCAGATTCCGGAAGGGGTAACATTTTACTGGATTCATTCTATCCTTTCCTCTCTCTGTTCCTGAAATCAGAGGATTCTTATAACCTCAGTGCAATCAGGTCAGAAACTTAGCATTGATTTGCTACCGACCTGAGCCTCAGACTTTGTTCTGATTTTACCAAGTGCTCCTCCCCCGCTCCCCCATGAAGTCCTTCCTTGCAAAAGAAAATCCATTTGGCACGCGGCCTTCTTGGAAAACTTCCTTAGTCTTGTGTTTCGTGACATTAATGGTTTTGACGCGTTTAAGCCAATTACTTTTCAGAGTGTCCCATAGTCGCCGTTTGTCTGATGCTCCCTGGTGAGTAGATTTAGATCGGATGCTCCTGCCAGGCATCCCGCAGCACTCACATCGTGTCTCCCATGCCTCGTGTTTGGAGGGTGAGTGCTGCTCTGTCCCTTGACTGCGATGTTGGCTTTATCACTTGGTTAATGACGGAGTCAGCAGTTTGTCAAGGAGCTCTGGCTCTTTTCAGTGGAGAGTGGTATCTAGAAATACCATCTGGTCATAGGGTATGTCTGTTGCTACTGAGATAGTGTGGCCTCTAGGCCCTCCGAGCAGATAGACCCGGGAGGCAGGGTGTGTGTGTTTGTGTGCATGTGCACACATGTGTGCACATATACTCATGCAAAGTCATAGACATGTGTGTACGCATCCACATGTATGTGAATACACATCATACATGTGTGTGAATGTGCATATATGGGCACGTCATCTAGATCATTTCTAAATCAAACTATGTATATGTTAAAACCACCACCAGTGCACCTGGGTGAGGCTACAGCATTCTTGAAATCCACGTCTGTCTCAGTGATGCTGACCAGTCCCCCAGGCCCACTGCCAATACAGCAGGCCAACACATTTATTAAACTATGGTTCAGGCCCTGTTCCAGACCCTTCGCTTATTGTTGCAGCTCCTAACAACTCGGTGGCCCAAGAACACATGAGGAAACAAGAGTCCGAAGAGATAAATAACTTGTGCGAAGTTGTGCAACTAGTAAATGTGGCAAGGTTACAGTGAGTGCCTGTTTGTCTGTTGGCATTTGATTGGATGGCCTGGGGTGACACTGCTGGCCCAGAAAACCTGAGCAGAGGGGAGGGTGAGGGAAGTGTTTGTCCCCATGGACCTGAGACCACTGAGGAAGGCGACGGTGTGTTGGTGGACACCCTGTTCCTTCACTCCCGGGAGGTGCTTACAGTCTGCACGTCTGATGGAGTCTGAGGCTGTGCAGAGATGTATGTGGCATTGCAGGGCCGCACATCTGTGCAGGGCCACGTGTGTGCATGAGCATTACCATGGAGGGGAGGGATGGTGGTGGCTGCTGTCCTGTGCTTGCAAAGCCCCCTCCCTTTTTTTAAAAATCTAGTTTATTTATGAGAGACACAGAGAGAGAGGCAGAGACACCGGCAGAGGGAGAAGCAGGCTCCCTGCAGGGAACCTGATGCGGGACTCGATCCCAGGACCCCAGGATCAGGCCCTGAGCTGAAGGCAGATGCTCAACCACTGAGCCCCTCCAGGCGTCCTGATTGCAAAGCCCTTGATCGGGTTGAGGGCATGAATGCAGAAGTGGGCCTCCCCCCAGGGAGAGGGCATTTCCTCCCTTGGAGCGGGGTGTTATCTCCAGCTGAGCTGCTTCTGCACAGAGGCTTTAACTTAAAACACATTTGGATCCCTGGCTCCCAGTGGAGTGTTTGTAGGATGTGAACTTGATAAATGCCAGTGTCTTTGTGCATCAACAACTATTTCCGAGCTCATTCTATGTGCCAGGCACCGTCCTGGGCCGACAGAGACCCAGGGAGCTCAGGTGCCAGGTGAAGGGACGGGGAAGAGGGGAAGATCAATGGTAAGCAGGGATGTAAGTATAGGTGCGGTAGGGTGGGGACAGGCGGGACTGGGTGGGGGGTGGCGGGTTAGAGCACAATGTAGTGTGCCGGAGGAGAGAGCACGAGGACGAGGAGCCCCGGCTGGTGATCAGAGGACAGGTGGGGGACTCATTACTCTCCCCGAGGGGCCGCGGGCCTTCGCCCTGGAAAGCCAGGACTGGCGTCTCTGGTGCATCTTTTCAGGCCTGAAGAGTCACGCACATGGGCACTCTCTCTCAGAACTCAAGTATTTCCTCCAAAAAGAAAAAAAAAAAAATTAAATGTTATCAGCTGGTCCAGAGGCGAACCAGAGGCCAAGGCATTCTGACCAGATAAGAGGCAAGCTTGGTGGTCACAGATATGAAAATGGGCAGCAGCGAGTTGTGGGTGGGATTCTGTTGCTGATAACCTTTAAGAAAAGAGCAACTGTTGCGGGCAGGGAGGCCGTTTTTCTTTCTGTCCTTCTCATCCATCCATTCGTTTGTTCGTTTGGGCAGCAGACACCCGTGGGTCCCGGGCCCTGTGCCAAGCACCCGGGATAAAACAGTAAGACCAGAGCTCTGTCCTCGAGATATTAAGGATTCAGTGGGAGAAACAGGCACATTAACAGCACAGTGATAGGCACAGCTGCAGTTCTGAGTTTGGGGAGGCCTGAAGCTAATACAATTTGGGAGTTCTCTTGAAGAAGTCAGTATACCAGGTATGAATTGAGAATGGAAGGCAAGCCCGAGCTAAGGAGGGGTGCAGCCAGGGGTGGGGCTGAAGCTTCCCTGGCGTGGGCCAGGCCTCCTGGGGGTGGGTGAGAATGCTCTCTCTCCCGAGGTACCTGGGCCGCAGGGGTCACGGGGCACGAGGGGCTCCTTGCAGCAGGAGGCTGGATGGAGACTTAGCAGAAAGGCTGATGGTGGGGATCCTGGGGGCTGTGGTA